TCAATACAACAAACCCTACTCAGCTAACCTCGGCTTTGCACACACAGTTTAACTAGTAGGCATTCACAGCGAGTCGAAAAGGCAGACTGCGCTCTCTGTAAAGCAGGGAGAGTGGGATCACTGGTGACGTCTGAAACCTCGCATATTACAGAATGTAACACCTGCATATGTGTAAAAAAAAAAAGAAAAAAGGCTTTGATTTTGCCACCCTACTTGATTTCTCCATTTGCCACCCTAAGAAAGTTTCTCTAGATCTGCCCCCTTTTGGTGTCATAATAAGAGCTGACTGAATTCTCTAAATACTAAGTATTCAAAGTTTCAAAGCTTCATTTCTAACCTTCTTTATTAGAAGACACTCTGGTAAGTAGATGTGGGAATCACCAGACACCCCACAATACGACATCACAATAGGTCTCTCATGATACGATATTATTGCAACAAACAAACAAACTAACTAACATTTTGTCAGTGTTTAAAAGCAAATAAACAGAATCAGTTTTGGGGGGGGAAAGATGAATTTCTATAGCAGATAATTAAATAATAATGTGTGCTGTATTGATCCCCGTGGGGAAATTACTTTTCCCCATTTTACTCATTCACTCAGTGAAGCAGTGTGCAGCCACGCAGGGACGGTATCTTGCTCAGGGGTACCTCAGGGTAGCCGTTCAGTGGATTTGAACCCCCGACCTTCTGATCATGTGGCAACCACTCGACCTACTGACCTATCTAATTAAAACATGCTTAAAAGGCAAAAATTCATTGGGCTGTAGTGGAGTCCTAGCTGGGCTTTATGTTTGACACCCCTGATCTACAGAGACTGTAAAACTTTACTGCTTGGAGATGTTTCATGAGGTTATGGTACTACGGTGGCCCCTAGAGACAAAGCATGTACAAACTCCAAAACACGTACAAAATCCAAAACACGTGCAAACTCCAAAACACGTACAAAATCCAAAACACGTGCAAACTGTCCTGTGGTCTCAGCCTCAGATACTTATCAAATCACACAAAGCTCTTGTAGAAACAAACAAACAAATGAACAAAAGATGTTCTCCTTCATTTCTGTCAAACAAAGTTGTATGACACGTTTCCAGCTGTTAGTATCATGGTTGCTAGGCAACCTGGGAAGCGCAACGGAGACTAGAGCGTCCTATACAGCCCATGTTTGCAACAAACTTGCCGTTTATTTTGCAAATCGAGCTCAACACTGCCCCTAGCGTCCTGGAGCACTTCCGTTGTGTTTTGGAATTTGCATGTGTTTTGGAGTTTGTGCGTGCTTTGTCTCTAGTGGCCACCGTACAGATCAGGTTTAATCCTGTAATATTATTTTGACAGCTTCAGACACACTGACTCTGAGGTCTTTGTTGACTTTGAACAGCAAGTAAACAAAGAGCAAATGCCTGGAAAGTAAACTCCTCCTCCTTTATGATGTCATGGTTAAGTATTAAAGGTGGATTGATATAACAACATAGAGGCCTTTTTTAGTCCTTAATAAAGCTCTATGGCGTCACTCACTACTAAAGTATTGACTTCTGACTCATTGGTCTATTGTAGACATTCATTTAAATACATCTATGCCAACATTTACATTTTTTCCTTTATGTCTCACAGATTTCTTAGAAGAAAAGAAAGAACTCAGTGGACCAGCTGGTGCAGGCAAATCCAGTTTACTTAACCCTGCTGACACGATTTCTATAGGGCAGAATTACTGGCAGTGTTCCTTGCAGCTGTTGAAGGACTTTAAAAGCACAGAAACATGATGATCGTAGAAGCATAGATTCATTGTGGGCATTGTGCGTCACAGGTTTGTTTGTTTTTTCCGTCTAAAGAGTGCAAGTCCAGTGAAACAGTGGAGCTCATGAATAATATTTAATCAAAGACAGGACTGAAAGACATCTTAAATCACTGCTGAGTAGGCTGCAGTGGATGGACAGCGCATAAAGTTCTCCCATTAAACATCTTAGTTTGATAAAAGAAGGACCTTTTTTTTTTAAAGGAAAACTACTGGCGGCAGCTAGCGTTACCTCTTAGCCTCCTGGTATCAATGATAAAATCCTAGTGGAATTAGTCATTGCATTTACAAGACTTCTAGAAAATGTGACCTCTGACCTCTGATGTTTTAGTAAAAACATTCAAATAAAAAATGACGCAAACTTTTAGTTAAAGTTTGATATAATGAAACTAAAAGTTTGAGTTGTATTTTTATCAATTTCCTCCTTTATTTTATTTTATCTTTCTCTGTCTTCCTTGTTTAAAATACTTTTGGAAAAGCAATAAATAAATCTTTGGGGGAAAAAAGTTTGAGTTGTAACACAATCACATCTTTCTACATATGACGGCAGAAAGATATAAGATTATATGATGACAGCAATGATAGAACACCTTTAAACGATGAAAACCTGAATTACCAAACAAATCATACAAGAAAACGCTGCCATTAAAAACATCTGTACACTATTTGAAATTCATTTGTAACCAGCTTCTAGATCACAGACACTACTGCAATCTCTCACCCTGCAGTCGGGCAGACACGTCCATATTCAAACTTTGGACCTAAACCTGCTCATAAAAAGATCAATAATCTGCATTTACGTGACTGTTAAACTACTACTGGTGTTGCTCTTTGATAGCCTCATCTAAATATTTGGATTATCAAACTGCCTCTTGACGACTAGCGGAGCTTATTGCTCTGGTTTCATTTACCAGGAAATGAAACATAAACATAAAGGGAGCTACGACTGTCCTCACACAAACAGCAGCAGCAGACTTACACAGGTACGTTCTCTCATTTCCTTTTGGATTCATTTTTACTTACTGTCACTCACATGACTTTACCCTCGTCTCTAATGCAGCATTTATTCTACATTTAAAGATATAATGAAGTGGGTTTAACATGGAGTCAATTACATTGCACTTAGTCTGTCTTCTCTTAAATTACAAGCACACTCATTCACATAAAAATGATGTATTAGTCTGCAGTATTACCATTTTAAACAATATAATTAGTTTAACTTTCTGAGAAAGGGAGAGGCGAATATCATGAAACCAGAGCCAAACCTGACAACATAAATAAGTAAAACTCTGGGTTAACAAAAGTGTAATGAATAAGTGGGGAAAATAAAAGCATGTTTGGTCATGGCTATAAAATATGCTTCACTTCTTTGTTAAAGAATTACTTAGTTTGCTTTGTTTAATTAATCCTCTGTAAACTGAGTGTTGAGCGATCCTTCCCTGTTATTTATCTGAAGCTGACAGGAGGCTTCAGCCAACAAGTTACAGATACAAGTTATTAGTGTGATTTTCTCTCTTTATGTCACAAAGTTAAAGCTCTTTGAGAAAACAACATTTCTCACTAACAAGCCACTCTTAACACCCTCTGAATTAAAAGTAAACTCTAATATTAAAAAAGTAACTTTTGATTTCAACTGAAGAAAGCTAAATTTTAAAATGCAATTCCAACCCATGATGGATGGTATTAACCAGAGAGGAGACAAACAATTAAAACCTGTTTCAGTGTTCGTGTGGCTGAATGACTATCAAATGATAAACTAGGAATACATTTAAAGCTGTCTTAATCATTAATAATCTGTTAATCACTTTTTGCAGTCAACACATAGTCATTTGATGCTTCACTGGTAAAAAAAAACATCTAATGAATGTCAGAATATAAAGTATGAACCATAAAAACAGTGACTTCTTAAATCTCCACAGGATGAAGATGTTTGGAAGAATGATGAGCTGCTGTGTGGCTCTCCTCCTGACCTTCAGCTCTGTGTCAGCTGTAAGACGAGCGCTCAACTCAATCACTGATCTGAGGTCAGTAGGCTTTGGCCAGTCTGTGCCCGAGTACAGCCTCTGCTTGCTCCACTGGTTTGCAACCACAGTTGACTTTGACAATAACAACATCATCCTGCTGACCTTTGACCCAAACCGTGGTGATTATGGCTCACATCATTATCGCAACGCTGAACAGCTGTTAGACCCACTGCCAAGGGGATACCGATACTACACTGTCGGTAACATCTACCAAGATGCATCACTGGAACTTCCAGATTATGTCGTGGAGTCGGACATTGAGGAAAGTAACAGGGCTCGCATTATAATTAGAGTCAGGGGGCGCAACGCAGTACGGACAATAGACCAAGTCTATATCACACAGCATTATGAGACATATGAAGCTCGAGGGACAGAGTATGATCCACAACATACATATCGGGTCACTACCTGCCTTCTAAGAGTGTTGAGAAAGTTTTCCTTGCATCTCAATAACATCAACTCACTGGCTCTCAGAAACAGAGTTCATGACTCCCAGCTATCAGAGATAAGAAACATGTGGGGGGACCTCGCTTGTGTTGGACTGTTGTTGTTTATTGTGATCCCAGAAAAATATTCCTCTCACAAACGCAACAACAGACGTCAGCCAGCACCAAGAAGCAACACACAAAGTTATGTTGCGGTCAATATCCCAGAGAGCAGGGAAAATGGTGACTCTGTCGTCCTGGACATGTACAACTCTGATCCTTGGCATTACACATCTCCCTCACGAAGAGACAGGTGCAATGAGACAAACCGGGTTCAGTGTTTATTCTGCTGTTGTTTTTTAACAATTATTTTTTCAGTCTTTCTTATTATATACAGTGGTGCCTTGTCTCACAACTTTAATTTGTTTCGTGACGGAGCCAATAAGTCAAATCATTCGTATGTCAAAGCAATTTTCCCCACTGACATGAATTGAAATGCCATTAATCCGTTCATGACCCGAAAAAACATTGAGAAAGGAATTTGTTGCATGTTTTTCAATAAGAAAAATCTACTTATAAATAACAAATATTATATAAAAACACAATAAAATTGAATGCACTGCAATAATCTGGTCTTATTAAGTATAATATACTTCATTATGGTGCAGAGTGTAGAAGTTTGATTATTTCTGTAGTTTTGAAAACACTGTTCAATAAAATATATTTTCATGTGTGTGTCGTAACTGCCTTGACTCAAAAGTCGTATTTGATATAATAGTTAATGTTTTCAATAATACAAATTTCCTGGAGATCTGCTGACCTAAAACCAACACGATTCACTTGATTCAAATCCATCTCTGACTGTTTGTTGCAGGACTTTCATGATTCACAACTTAGTGTATAAAAACAGCAGATAAGATATGTGGCCGACAATAAGAGAAGTAACGAGGCTTTTATTATAATTACAGTCAAGGAGCAGAATGAGGCATTGATAACAGACCAAATGTGCATCACACAGCATTACGAGACATGAAAATCAGAGTATGAGGTCTAATCCAGAGCATACATATCAGCTCACTACCAACCTGCTGAAGGAGATCAGAGAGTTTTCTGTGGAAGAAAATGACATGAGCTGACTGATGGAAGCAGTGCTGATGATTCCAGCTGAGGCAGATCAGAAACACATGGGGTGATCTTTCTTGTCTTTGACTGTTTTTCTTTATTGTTTCTGAGGAAAACTATTCCTCTCACAAACACAACAATAGACCTCAGCCTGCAGCAGGAAGGAGCACACAACGTTTTTTGTGGTCAGACTGTGAGCCCCTCTCAAGTGACTGAACTCCTCTTCCTATTTGTAAGGGAGAGGCCAACCACCTTTCACAAAAAGCTTATTTCTGCAGTCTCGTTCTTTCGGTCACTACTCAAAGCTCGTGACCATAGGTTGAGAGTAGGGATGTAGACAACTAGTAAATTGACAGTTTTGCTTATACCCTCAGCTCTTACAACCTCACATGTTATACTGATCCTGACTCTGGACAGAGGAGACTCTTCATTGACAGTAGTTACCACGCTGACACCTGACGCATCGTCAATCCTGAGATACTACTTCATTGAAAACAATGGGCGAGGGCAGCTCAGCTCATAGTATCAACTTATTTTACTTCCTTACTTACGGCTCAATAAACAAGGTCTGCAGCTAGATACATCCAAGGTGTTAACTCCATTTATAGTTATTCAATGTTTTATTTTGAAAAGCCTCAAAAGGATATGGTGCGACACGATGGTTTTACCGTCGTTGTTGCACAAACCAACACATAAAACAGTCTCTTGTCCATCCAGAGTGTTATTTTAGATATAAGAAAAATAGACAACTCCAAGAAGAAATTAAGAAAGCCACTACATTAAGTAAAACCATCCTGCTCCAGAGCGAGAGGACTGCATCGATTTGAGCTCGTCCAAAGTTGGATACAGCAAGTCAGTTAAGTGTACAGAGCTGTGTGCATGAAGAGTCTAAGATGAAAAGAAATAAGCTTCCATGGATAATGTTTTGGACTATGACATGCTGCCAAGCTACAAGTCGTGCCAAAATTGAACAATTACGATACTCAACTTCTTACATATAAGTCAGTGACAGTGTTTTGGTCCTAAGAAAGATGACATTCACTACGAAAGCCTCAGTTTTGTGTCATAGACCAAGTGTTTCATGAACACTTGTTTAATAAGAAGTTGTGTAAAAGGAGCAAAGATGGCAGATGAAGACCTGCAGGTCCCAGGCCCAGGGCACAGAGCTGCAGTAGCGGGACTGGCCAAGAGGGCACAAAAGTATACCTTGAACAGTTTACCAGAGGTGTACCCAGAGATTTGCTAAGAAGTTGTCAGCACATGAATCCACAACACGGCTACAGTAAGGCAAGAAAGTTGCTGTTTTGTCATTATGGTAATGAACTGAGAATTGCAACTGCCTACATGAACAGAGCATTTGATTGGCCACAAATCAAAACAGATGATGCAAAGGCTCTTCATAGCTATTTACTTTTTCTCACCGGTTGTAACAATGCAATGCAAGACATCAGTCAACTGCATAAAATGGAGATCCCCACAAACCTCAGAGTTATTGTCTCTAGACTGACATACAGAATGAGAGAAATGAGGAGAGTTTCTGCTTTTGGCATTCAAGAAACAAGTGGAAGGAGAGCAAAGTTCTCAAATCTGGTCACATTCATAAACAGACAAGTAAAAATAGCTGCAGATCCTTTGTTTGGTGGCATTAAGGATGCTGAAGATGAAGCAAGGTCATCAACAAATGTGAGAATGAAAAGATCATCCAGGCAAAGGGGAAGCACATTTGCTACAAGTGTAATACAAGTTGCACATGAAAATCTTTCCGCGAGAGCTATGTGGCAGGAAGATCTCATGGGATGAGGAAATCCCAGCTGAACTGGCTCAAAGGTCACAGGTTTGGCATTCAGAGCTTCCTAAACTTCATGGCTTTGCCATCAACAGGTGTTTGAAACCTGCTGGATTTGGAGTGGTCATATCTGCACAATTACACCACTTCGCTGATGCCAGTGAGAGAGGTTATGGAGTCGTTACTTACCTCCGTATCACAAACCAGAAAAGAGAAACTCACTCCTCATTCATCATTGGCAAGTCCAGATTGTCTCCTCTGAAGTAGATAACAATTACACATCTCGAGTTGACAGCAGCTGCAGTTGCTGTAAAAATTTACAATCTCATGAGAAAGGATCTGCAAATGCCACAAATAGGATTCTGTGTTTTGGTCTGACAGTACCACTGTTTTAAAGTACATCTTCCGTGAGAACATCAGATTTAAGACATTTGTAGAAAATAGAGTGTCACTTTTAAGAGACAACACAAAACCAAGTCAGTGGATGTATGTGAACTCTGAATTAAACCCTGCTGACCACGCTTCAAGAGGAATAAACACAGACACATTTATGAAGTGTCCAAACTGGATTGCTGGGCCAGAGTTTTTGACAAAAGATTTAAAAAATTGACCAATTCCACCAGACATTAAAAAACACCCAAAAAAAATATGTCGAAGTCAAAGAGGCAATGAGTGTGGATGTTACAGAAATACATGAAAACCCACTAAACAAACTGATCACTACTCAGACTGGTGCCGTGTAAAAAAGGCATCTTCCCGGATACTTATGTTCAAGCAGCTGCTTCGCAGGTTAAGTGCACATCGTAAGCTTCTTGTGTCACAAGCAAGTGGCTGTGAAAGCTGCAAAAGGAAAGTCGAAAAGGTTGCAGGTCAAGTGCAGCAGTTCAAATCATGTATTATTATCGCTCACTACTGCAGATGTTGCAGTAGGAGAAACTGAGATTGAGTTTTGTCAAAATCAAAGCTTTGCAGAAGAACTTGCAAGTCTTCATGAAGGTGACAAGTTTAAAAGGAGCAGTCACATTGCGAAGGTTGATCTTTTTATCCAGGATGGAATTTTAAGGGTTGGCGGCAGGTTGCACGAGTCTGCACTACCTGCTGACATTAAGCATCCAGTGATCCTCATGTTTCTACTTTGATTCTGAGACACATTCACCAAGAAACAGGCCATGTAGGAAGGAATTACACATTATCCAGGCTGAGAGAAAGATTCTGGATTCCCCAGGCAAATTCAGTAATAAGAAAGATCCTGTCAAAGTGTGTAACATGTCAAAGGACATCTGCAAAACCTGGTGAATAAAGAATGGCAAACTTGCCACAAGATCGCCTGATGCCTGACAAACCACCATTCACAAATGTGGGCATAGACTACTTTGGACCTTTTGAGGCCGAAGCAGCCCTACTGTGACAATACAGAGCCCTGTGTAAAATATACACTTTCACCTCCAACTAACCAACCTCTCTGTGATTGATTTGAGGAGATGTATGCTATTATTGGGAGATATCTAAAAATACTCCTTAACTGCTGATATTTTTTGGTGGCTCCATAATGTGCTTACCATGTAGTTGCAAACTCGTTAGGATCATCATCAGAATCAGCTCAGATCCTAATCAAGCAAAAAACTAATGTCTTTTCAACGGCTCACATAGTGAGGCACGTCAAGTCATTTCAGAAAAACAGGGCTTTGTGGGAGTACCCACGTACTAGCCTCTCGGCCCAAGAAAAATGGACATAAGACTGCTGGACTATTGTACACCTTTTATATATGTGTAATAAAATTCCATGATGTTGACATAACACAGTTATCAATGTGGGACTGTTTTGGCTTCTGACTCATAGCTACTGTGTTTCAGCTACTGTTTTGCCTACACTACAGCCTTATTTTTAGAAATTTTCCCAGATGTGTTATTTAAGTACTCCCGAGGAGCCCGTTCAGCCTCATGCCTCGTCAGCTGGAGGGCCCGAGGAGCCCGTCCAGCCTCATGCCATGCCAGCTGGAGGTTCAGTCGAGCCCGTCCAGCATCCTGCCACATCTGCTGCAGCGCCACCACCTGCGGCTTCCACGCCGTCACCTGCAGCGCCACCACTATCTGGTCCTGCCACACCTGGTCCTGCCTCGACCCAGCCAGAGGTCGACGCCACGCCTCTGCTCGTCTCGCCTGCCAAGCCACGTCCACGTCCAGCATGGCTGTTTCCGGGGCCTGTCAAAACAGCCTGTTCACGGAAACCCACCAAACCACCCGAGGGGTCACGTCCACATCCACACTAACGTCGACCACCTGCCAAGACACCTGTGAAGTCTTGTCTACGCCATCGACCACCAGCCAAGCAACCCGAGGGCCTTCATGCAGGCCCACACTGCCATCGACCGCCTGCCAAGCCGCCCGACAGGTCTCATCCACATCGCCGCCGGCTGCCTGCCAAGCCGCCCGACAGGTCTCGTCCATGTCGCCGCCGGCCACGAGCCAAGCCACCCGAGTGTGGCCAGCCATGCCTGCTTCGCCACTGCCACCTTCCACATGGTCGGCCCCCTGATCTGCTCCGTCACCACCGTTGGACTCGTGGCCGGCCCCCCGAACCTTTGAACTATGAACTGTTATGCTATCGACCTCCAGGACGGCCCCCTGAACTAATTAACTGTGGACTTTTGTGCCGTCACCCTTCAGGTCGGCCCCCAGAAAGTTTTGAGAACTGTCTCCGGAGCTTTAGTGCCTTTCATGGGTTTTTTGCACCCTTTTTGTGGGACTTTTGCTCTGGTTTTGGTCAGTTTCAGTTTCTGTCATGATCCTGGGTCTTTTGACCCAGCGTTTTAAGTTTGAGTTTATTTTGTTCATTAGGTTATCTAAGTTCATTTGTTATTAGATTCCCCTTGTGTATCCAACCCCTGTTAAGTCTCCCTTGTCCTTCATGTGCTTCATGTCTGTGTTTCTTATGTTGTCATGTTTGCGTTTCATTATGTTTCCCATTTTATTTTGAAAGAGGTCCTGTGTCCCTGCATTTTGTTTTACTCTTCCCCTGTGGCGTTGTTATGTTCATGTTGTGTCTACTGTGCCTTTCTGTTCCATGTTTCAGGTCCCTATGTTCTGTCTCCCCAGTCTGTTAAGTTTACATGTCTTGAGTTCCGTCAGTGTGTTTCCTGTTTTACTTTCACAGTCTGTCCTATGTTAATGTTTCTAGTTTTGCTTCCCTTGTCTCGTCCTGTCTAATTACTCTCAGCTGTGCTCTCCTCCTGTGGCTCATTCCCCCTCTTTATCCCTCAGTGTATTTAAGCCCCATGTTTCTCTTTGTCAGTGTTGCGTCCTCCCTCATAGCTGTGTGATTTTTCCCTGTGGCTCCTTGTGCTTTAGTTTTCCCAGTTTAGTTTTGTATTGTTTTTCGTGTCCCACGCCAGCAATAAAGCTGTGTTTTTTGAGTTTACTTTTTGTCTCTGCGAGTTTGCGTTTGGGTCCTACTCTTGCCGTATTGTGACACTTGGGGTACACTTGAATTAACTGGAGTAGATACTGATCTGTGAGGGAGTAACTGAACAAACTGTGAGTGGCCAGAGAGATAAGGGGTAAACCAGTACTGTACCACTGATGCCAATAGATCAGGGGTGGGCAATTCCAGGCCTCGAGGGCCGGTGTCCTGCAGGTTTTAGATCTCACCTTGGGTCAACACACCTGAATCACATGATTAGTTCGTTACTAGGCCTCTGGCAAACTTCAGGACATGTTGAGGAGCTAATTTAGCCATTTAAATCAGCTGTGTCGGTTCAAAAAACCTAAAACCTGCAGGGACACCGGCCCTCGAGGCCTGGAGTTGCCCACCCCTGCAATAGATGCTAATCTGTGAAGGACGATGCAGTGGGAGATGGTATCAAAAGCTGCTGTAAGGTCAGGGAGAATGACGATGGAGATAAGTCCTGAGTCAGCTGCAAGCAGAAGATCATTGGTGATTTTTACTAGAGCTGTTTCTGTACTGTGACATGAACGGAAGCCGGACTGAAACTGTTCATACAAGTTATTTCCAGTGTGATGATGATGAACCTGTGCAGCCACTATCTTTTCCAGAATTTTTGCCAAGAAAGGGAGATTTGAAATTAGCCTGAAATTATTTAGATTGGAGGGATCTGAACCATTCTTTTTCAGTATTGGGGTTATTATAGCAGTTTTAAGAGAAGAAGGAACAGAACCAGATTTAAGAGAGGATGGGGCAATCAGTGGGGCAAGCAACGGGAATGAGAGTTTAACAAGATTTGTCGGCAGTGGATCAAGTTTACACGATGATGACTTAAAGTTAGTAATTATGGAAGATAGCTGAGTTATTGTGGGAAGTTCAAAACTTGATAGAGAGGATGACAGCTGAGAAGGACAAGAAATGCAGATAGAGCAATTGACCATATCACAGGACGAGGGCAATTGTTGATGAAGATTCTCAATCTTGGCGTAAAAAAAGTCCATAAATTTGTTGCAAACTGCGGCAGAGTGTGTATGTACGGCAGAGACATTCCAGGCGGCGTCCAGTAGCTTTAAGTTGGTGAAGTTCAGATAAATACCATGGCGCAGAGCGAGAGAGAAAAACAGTTCGATTTTTGGGGGGAGCCAAGGTATCTAAGAGGTTGATAAGTTCATTGTTATAATGAGATACCAGGTCATCTATGGAAGCTGAGGCATCAATGGTAGGTAAATTCTTAACGCCATGGGAAAGAGCTGATAGATCAATGCCCCTAATATTTCTAAAAGTAATTGAGCGGTTTTGTTTATTTTTGTACAGTGGGAGACTACCACTGAATAAAACTAATTCATGGTCTGAAAAAGGCATGTCCAATACAGCACAATTCTTAGGGGTGACACCAATACAGCAAACAAGATCCAAAATGTGTCCCTTGGAGTGTGTGGGAACGTCCATATATTGGTGTAAGCCAAAATTGCCCAGACAGGATCCTGTCTGGGCAATTTTGGTTCCTGTTTCTGCCTTATTTTTGTGTGCATTTTCTTTTTTAATCCATATTGCTTTGCTGCTTTAATGGCTTTCTACCTGCATGTTTCTCTTGTACAACCTTCCTAAATCATTTGTGCTCAATTCAAATTTTTATAGCAACAATGTCGTGTTGTGTTCTGTGCCGGACTTTCTTGATGAAGGAGTTCTAAAATCCTTTACATTAATTTAATGGACAGCTCTTGTGGTGCTGACTCATGCTTATTTTCAATCAGGTGCAACAGCTTGTTAAGACCTACAATACCCTTGGGTTGTAGTGATGGGTTTCTGTCTAAATGTAGATGACTGGACAAAGGATCTGTCCTCCAAACTCTTCTATACTGGTGATCACCTGGAAAATTGTTAAAACAAACATGGACTCAGTGCTCCAGCTGGTGAAGGTAAATGCAGTTAATTCAACCCTGCAGACATGATTTATAGAAGGCTGAATTACTCCACTGCAGTCTCTGACCCTACAGTCGACTGTAGGGGGAAGGGAACACAGAAACCAAAACCTCAGAACTAGAAAATCTTAATCAGAATAAAATTGAAGCAAAAGATAATAACAACCAAAACAAAACCACTGAGTCCATAGACTCAGGACATAAACCTGCTAGTAAAAAGATCAACAATCTGCTTTTAAGTGACTGCTAAACTAGAAACACTCACAACTAGCAGAGCTTGTTGCTCTGGTTTCATTTACCAGGAAATGCACAACATAAAGGAAGCTACGACTGTCCTCACACAAACAGCAGCAGCAGACTTACACAGGTAAGTTCTCTCATTTCCTGGTGGATTCATTTTTACTTATTTTCACTCCCATGACTTTACCTTCGTCTCTAATGCAGCATTTATTCTACATTTCAAGATACAGTGAAGTGGGTTTAACATGGAGTGGATTACACTGCACATAGTCCACCTTCTCTTAAATTACAAGCACACTCGTTCACATAAAAATGATGTATTAGTCTGCAGTATTACAGTTTTAAACAATATAATTAGTTTAACTTTCTGACACAGGGAGAGGTGAGTATCATGAAACCTGGTTGTTGTCGTGTCGCACGCACTGCTTTAGATACTGGACTCGTTTCTGAGCCACACCTGACAACATAAATAAAATTCTGCCTCACTTCTTTGTTAAAGAATTACTTAGTTTGCTTTGTTTAATTAATCCTCTGTAAACTGAGTGTTGAGCGATCCTTCCCTGTTATTTATCTGAAGCTGACAGGAGGCTTCAGCCAACAAGTTACAGATACAAGTTATTAGTGTGATTTTCTCTCTTTATGTCACAAAGTTAAAGCTGTTTGAGAAAACAACTTTTCTCACTAACAAGCCTCTCTTAACAATCTCTTAATTAAAAGTAAACTCTAATATTAAAAAAGTAACTTTTGATTTCAACTGAAGTAAGCTAAATTTTAAAATGCAATTCCAACCCATAATAGATGGTATAAACCAGAGAGGAGACAAACAATTAAAACCTGTTTCAGTGTTTGTGTGGCTGAATGACTATCAAATTATAAACTAGGAATAAATTTAAAGCTGTCTTAATCATTAATAATCTGTTAATCACTTTTTGCAGTCAACACATAGTCATTTGATGCTTCACTGGTAAAAAAAAAACATCTAATGAATGTCAGAATATAAAGTATGAACAATAAAAACAGTGACTTCTTAAATCTCTCCAGGATGAAGATGTTTGGAAGAATGATGAGCTGCTGTGTGGCTCTCCTCCTGACCTTCAGCTCTGTGTCAGCTGTAAGACGAGCGCTCAACTCAATCACTGATCTGAGGTCAGTAGGCTTTGGCCAGTCTGTGCCTGAGCAGAGCCTCTGGTTGCTCCACTGGTTTGCCAATGAAATTGACATTGACATAAACGGTGAGATAAGTCTGACCTTTGACCCAAATAGTTTTGATTATGGCTCACATCATTATGGAAACTATGAAGAGGTGTTGGGTCAACCGCCGAGGGGATATCAGTACTACAGTCTTGGTAATATCCATCGACAAGGATCTCTGCGGCTTCCACAGCATGTCATCCAATCAGAGGATGAGAACGGCAACAGGGCTCGGATCATAATCAGAGTCTGGGAGCCAAACCATGGACGGCAAACTTCACAGATAATAGACCGAGTCTATATCACACAGCATTATGAGACATCTGAACATCGAGGGACAGCGTATGATCCAGAACATACATATGAGATCACTACTAACCTCTTAAGAGCGATCAGTAAGTTTTCCATTAACAATGATAACATCAATTTACTGATGTTTCTCAGAAACCACTTTAGAAGCAGCGCTGATGACTCCCAGTTATTGGAGATAAGAAACACGTGGGGTGACCTCGCTTGTCTTGGACTGTTGCTGTTCATTGTGATCCAGAAGAGCAATTCCTCTCATGAACACAACAACAGACGGCAGCCATCACAGAGAAGCAACGCACCAAGTGATGCTGTGCTCAATATCACAGAGAGCAGGCAACAAGATGCTTTTGTCTTCCCAGAAAGCTTCAACTCTACTTTGCAGGACGACAACACCTCTGTTTGTTCTTTGATCTGTGCTGTCATGATTATTGTTTGTTTCATTGTTGGTATTCTATATAGGGCATTATCACCTAAACATTAATTTAACTACAATCATTGTCAACACACAGATTAAAATGAAATTTCTCACTTGTGGGACTAATAAAGGAATCTTATCTTATTAAATTGAACTTTTCTATTACAGTGTACTGCCACTGACTGCAAAACCCTTGAGCAAACAGTATTTCACCATTAATCTTCTTCCTGCTGTCCTGATACGCTCCCCGACAGGTTTTTCTTTTCTTTTCCAAAGCTCAGCCCCTAAATTCTTTTTCATTTATCCATAAGATTGTTGAAAAAGTAAATTCTTTTTATTGGGCAAATTTTGTTTAATCTGCCTATGCTTCCTTTAATAGAGGGTGGCTTAACATAACTATGACCATACCCTGATTTAAAGCTGTAACTGAGTCAGCTAATTTATGGATTTATTTCTTGTTTGACTCTTGCCATGCTCTTTTTGAAGTAGAGCTTGTCACCTGGTGGTGCCTTGATGTGAAACAAAGACGGTGATATGACGATTAGTTGCTCTGTTGCCCACTGCTCAAACAAATTGCCTCAGATTTTTTCCCAGCTTTGTCTATTTCTATTTTAATAATCATGTAATTTTTAAATTAACACCACATCATCTCATATTTCACAACTTTACTGTAAAAGGGTTTATTCATTGTATAGGAAATAAACTCAGTTAGTTTGATCTCACATTGTGTGATAAAAAGAAAAACAAATTACCACCAGAAGACAAGAATTACTGGGTTATTACGTTGACTCCATGTCCTGAGAATCAGGCAGCTACAACACTTTGGTACAACCAGTTGAATGACAGTTATTCCATTGTACACTTTGTCTCGATGTGTTTAACTTCACCTGCTGTGCTATATTTGTAAACCTTCAAAATCTACCTGTAGAAACAGTTGAAATTATTTTCACATAAATACAAACTTCAAACATTGGACCATGAAGGGCTCAGAGTCTTCAGGGTTTCACTTCTGCACAGGTGTTAAATTTATTTTTAGGATGCAAGACTAGAGTAAAAACTGTCAGTGACCAACACATCTTTAACAGGAGCTGAAGAAGACGTCAGAATATTATATTGAAAAGGTGTTTCCTTGCTTGGACTGAAAACCTGAAAGACTTAGATGCCGGTCCCACATTATACAATTAAAACTGCATTCATCAAAACATCAGATAACACCAAACAGCAAGACACTGTGTGATGTAAATGAAAAGTTTGCAAGTTCAATAAATTAATGTATTGTGGCATATGTGTTTGTAAAAGTTTCACCTTTGGGATTAGAATATTTCACTGAGTCGCACAAATGTATTTACAATGTCTGTGACACACAATTTACTGCAAATCACACCAAATCAACACCTGAAAAAACAGGTCCCTGTTGTGGTTGTGATACCTGCTACAAGCAGTGTTTAATGTTAGGACGGGGAAGTGTTTTCAGAACAAGTGCATAAACCCCACTTTGTGTGGATCCCTGATCTTCTTTCCAGCAAAGATTTCATGGCCTAAACACACTTGGGAGATGTTTATTCATCTTTTTTACTTTGACACAAAGGTTTTTTATTTATTAGCTGCATGAACTAAAACATACAGTTAGAACTACAATGTTGCACCTCCTCTGGATTTTAAAATAGCCCGAATTGAGGTACAGACAATCAGGTGGTGGAGTCTAACTTTCCATCAATGAAATGACAAAAGTGTCCAAATCTGAGTGCAGTCCTGTGTGTTTACTGTTGAGGTGATGACCCCCCATTTCCTCTGTGCCTTTACATCACATGGAGCCTCATCTCATGTGTTTTAGAGAAATGTGCTTGTTATCTTCAGTCGTTTTGTGTCACAGGAACAGCAGTAAATGAAAGTTGTAACATCTGCTAGACTCCTGCAGACATTGAGCATCACTTTCATCCAAACATCCACAGTCAACAATGGCTTCTCTTTAGGATTCTGTGAACTTGTTTTCTCCTCTTTAGCTTTTCATTTATTACAGCTCTGTAACAAAATTGACTCCTTTTTCTGTCTGTTTTTCGTGTGCATTTTCTATTTTCAATCCACATTGCTGCTTTCTTGTCTTCTTTCTACCCACATGTATCCCAGACAACTCAAGTTTTAGAGTAACAAACATCCTTTGACACATCCTGTGTTAGATTTTCTTGTTGAAGGAATCATTAATTTAACTAATAGCACTTTTGCTGGCTCATTCTTACTTTCATTTAGGTTCAACAACTTGTTAAAGTCTACAAATGTTTTTGCAGGTATTTAATTGTAGACATGCAAATTACATTTTTTTTTCTCTACTTGGTCTGATAAATACTTTCGAACAATTTGTGTGTAATCTATACACACACGTCTTGCTGTCAGGCCGGCAGGTATTAGGCATGCTTCAAAGCTTCCTTTCTAACCTTCTTTACTAGAAGATATTCTGGTAAGTAGATGTGGGAATCACCAGAAACCCCACACACATTGCGACATCACAATACGTCACTCACGATACGATATTATTGCAACAGCGTACAAACAAACAAACATTTTGTTAGCATTTAATTGTGACAGCTCTGGGCCATTTTGACCCAGCATTTCTGTTTCTTGTGTTTTTGTAGTATTCTGTATCATGGTTTAGGTTCTGATTCCTTTTGCATTTGGGTCTAATCTCCTGCCTGCCACACAGCACGCATCATGACATTAATAACAAATAAACAGAATCAAATTTCTCAGGGAAAAAGGTGAATTTCTATAGCAGATAATTAAATAACAGATAAGCTCCAAATCTTATTAAAACATGTTTAAAAGGCAAAAATTCCTGTCCTTCTCCACATAGCCGAACCCATCCAGGGGGCTGTGGCGGAGTCCTCGCTGGGCTTTATGTTTCACACTTCTGATCTACAGTGACTGTAAAACTTTACAGCTTGGAAATGTTTCATGAGAAATGTTCTATAGCTTAGAGTTAGATGAGGTTTAATCCTGTAACATTATTTTGACAGTTTCAGTTGCTGTGCTTTGTGATACCCTGACTCTGGACCCTTTGAAGATTTTTTCTTAGAAGATAATCAAACAGCAAATACCTGGAAAACAAACTCATCCTCCCTTATGATGTCACGCTACAGTATTAAAGACAAATTAATATAACAAAAGAGAGAACTGTTTTAGTCCTTAATAAAAATAAAGTTAATATCCCATTTTCACGTGCTTTTTTTTCCGCATGCTTTTAATAAAGCTCTGTGGCATCTCTCACTGCTAAAGTATTGACTTCTGACTCATTGGTCTAATGTAGACATTCATTTAAATACTTCTATGCCAACATTTGCATTGTTTTCCCTTTGTCTTATACATTTTTTATAGATTTTGTTTTATACATTTTAAAACGTGATGATTGAAGAAGCATTGATTCATTGTGGGCATTACAGTAAGTGCATCACAGGTTATTTTATATTTCATTCACAGGGAAAGTGTAGTGTATGACTAATATTTAACCAAAAAGATGGTGAGTGTGTAAGGTTCTGCCATTATGTTAAGCTATATAGTTTATGTCTTGCATATTTCCACAACCATATCCATAATCACATACTGTGTATGCTACTGTTGTATATAGCGTATTATCTTACTTATTTTTTATTTGTTTGTATTTTCCTTCTGATCTGTACCTGAGCTATGGTAACGCAAACATTTCCCCATTGTGGGATCAGTAAAGTCTTATCTTATCTTAAACATCTTAGTTTGATAAATGATGACATTAAAAAAGGGATCTTTAGCTACACTGCATGCCGAGGTTTCTAGAAAAACAAGTACAGAAAAATGAAATAAACAGCGAGGATAGTGATGCCGTATGTTGCCATTTCTGTGATTCTCTCTGTGACAGCATCTCCTCCTGGTGGGTTGCAGCAGTGGAAGCAGCTCCACAAGCTTTAAAACATCCTGGGTAAATATGTGTAGCCTCATGTTTTTAGTACAAACATTCAAATCTAAACAGAAGTTACATTTGAATTAGTTTCACACAATGAAACTAAAAGTTTGAGTTCTAACACAATCACATCTTTCTACATATGAATGATCTCAAAGTTTTTATATGATGATGGTAACTATAGAACACCTTTAAACAATGAAAACCTGAATTACCAAACAAATCATACGAGGAAACACTGCCATTAAAAACATGTGTTTACTCTTTGAAATTCATTCATCAGCTACTACATGAGAGACAACTTCATCTCTCACCCTGCAGGCAGACACGCCCATGTTCAAACTTTGGACCTAAACCTGCTCATAAAAAGATGAACAATTGCGCTTTAATAAACTCATTCAAATATCTGGATTATCAACCTTCATCTTCATCTTATCAACTAGCAGAGGTGTTTGCTCTGGTTTCATTTACAAGAAAAGCAAAACTTAAAGGGAGTTACGGCTGTCCTCACACAAACAGCAGCAGCAGACTTACACAGGTTCTCTCATTTTCTGGTGGATTCATTTTTTCGTATTTTCACTCCCATGATTTTACCCTCGTCTCTAATGCAGCATTTATTCTACATTTAAAGATACAATGAAGTGGGTTTAATATGGAGTGAATTACACTGCACTTAGTCCGCCTTCTCTTAAATTACAAGCATACTCATCCACGTGAAAAATTATCTGTAAGTCTGCACTATTACAGTTTTACACAATTAAAGTCAATTTAAAGTCATTAGTTTAACTTTCTGACACAGGGAGAGGTGAGTATCATGAAACCAGAGCCACACCTGACAACATAAATAAATACAATTCAGGGTTAACAGAGGTTTAATGGATAAGTGGGGAAAAGACAAAAGGATGAACAAAAAAAACATTGACATGTAGTTGTTGCAGTTTGCTAATGGCTGTAAAATATGCCTCACTTCTTTGTTAAAGAATTATTTCATTTTCTTTATGTTACGTCCCCAGACTAGTCTGGGGGGTTTGAAGGGACTAACAGAGGTAAATAGGGAAGTAGGAGCCAAGATGGTAATTTTAAAAGGTTTATTTCATGCTAGCATTGAAATTCTGGTTCAGACTGAGGGTTAACTTCAGGGAGAGCCAAGGCCAACATAACAAACAAAACATTCCTGATATGAAAATAAAAGAAACTTACCTAACTCCAAAGAAAACAAAATATACAACCTATAACCATAACCTACCTAACAACACATAAACAGGAGAAAGCAGGGTGTCAAAACAAAAGGCAGCTCTCCCCGACAGGCAGTGTGAACATGAAAACACAAAAGGCACATACAATCAGAATCAGAATACTTAATTGATCCCTGGGGGAAATTATTTTTTGTTACAGTGCTCCATTATAAACCAACATTAAGACAAGACAGACAATACGCTAACTAAGAATAGTACAATATATACATATATACATAAGTCACTCATAAATAAATAGCTGGAAAAGAAACATGTGTAGTTGTAGCAGCAAACAGTGTGTTAAGTGGATGCGTTGTACAGGGAGCCACAGGCAGGAATGATTTCCTGTGTCGTTCAGTGGTGCTTTTCGGTAATCTCAGTCTCTCACTGAACGTAGCTCCTGTGACTGACCAGCATGTCATGGAGTGGGTGGGAGGTGTTATCCAACATTGTCTTTATCTTGGACAGCATCCGCCTCTCCGACACCACCTTGAGGGAGTCCAGCTCCATCCCCACAACATTGCTGGCCTTACGGATTAGTTTATGGCTGCCCCTCTGTTGGTCTTCCTTGGTCTCTTGTGTTCTGGGGGCCTCTGGATGTCTGGAGTTTTGATCTCCTCCACACCTGCTTCATGCCCTGGAGGACGGGGCTGTGGCCCCCCCACACCCTCTAGCAGATCTATTACATGAAGGAACCTTTTAAAAAACAAAAAAAAACAAGTGCGTCCATGCTCACAGGTGTACACACGGGTGATCACACCCACAAACTACACCCTTTTTGGCTCCTACCTCAAAGCACACTGTGTTCTGTTGATCTTATGTGCTGCACAATAATGTTTAATATTTAGTATTTACTGTCATATTCCCATATATCATTGTGATGTTGTTTATTCTATTACTCTTGTTCTCTCGCTTGTTTTCTTTTTTCTTTCTCAGCAGGTGATCGCATATGATTGCATTTTTTTTTTCTGTTTTTTTTTCGCCCATTTTGTGTTTTTGTTCTTTTGCCCTTATCCCCGTCCCTCTTCTCCAGCTGTTTTTCTTTCCCTCTTTCTTTCTCCCCTTTCCAGTCAAGTCTGTCCCGTATAGAAGTGAAAAAAAATAAACAATAAAAGGTGAATCAAATGACCATACGGCAAGGCTGGGATGGTCCATTTGGTAAAGTAAATCCGTTGGGCATCTTTCTTTGCCTTTAGACAACAATTCTGATGGCAAAAGAGCCAAACGGGACAGGCAAAAAAAAAAAAAAAAAAAGGACAAAAAAGAGAGCTCCACCTGCATCGCTGCTAACTTATCACTACAGGAGTGAGTTTTGGCTGATCGAGCTGTTGAAAGCACTGGAAAAGTCAAAAAACATGACCCTCACAGTGCTCGCTGGCTGGTCCAGATGGGTGTAGACACGATTGAGCAGGTAGATGATGGCGTCCTCAGTTCCGAGACGAGGCTGATAAGCGAACTGAAGGGGATCCAGATGTGGTCTTACTATGGGTCGCAGCTGGTCCAGGATGAGCCTTTCCAGGGTCTTCATGATGTGAGAGGTCAGTGCCACGGGCCTGTAATCCTGGGGGCCACTGGGACGTGGCGTCTTTGGTACAGGGACGAGGCATGATGTCTTCCACATCACTGGGACCCTCTGCAGACTCAGACTCAGCATAAACAGTTTATGAAAGACTCCACACAGCTGGGGGGCACAGGTCTTGAGGACGAGGGGACTCACTCCGTCTGGTCCAGCAGACTTGCCTGAGTGAAGTCTCCTCATTTGCATCTCAACCTGGTATTGAGTGAAGGTGATGGGTGGGGGAGGGGTGTCAGGAATCTCACAGGAGGCAACAGCGCCATGTGAAGAGAGAGGCACAGTGGTGTGGCTCTGGATTCCAGGCTGACTACAGGTGAGGTTGTGGGGGTGGGAGCAGACACTGTGGTGTCGAATCTATTGAAAAACAGATTCAACTCGTTGGCTCTATTCTCACCTCCCTCAGCTCCCCTGCTGTTGGTGATGGTCTTCATGCCCCTCCACACCTCTCTCATGCTGTTCTGCTGGAGTTTCCACTCCAGCTTCCTCCTGTAATTGTCCTTAGCCTCTCTGATCTTGTCCTTTAGTAACACCTGGATCTTCCTCACCTCCTCTTTGTTGCCCCCTCTGAAAGCCCTCTTCTTGCTGTTGAGAAGGGCTTTGATGTCCTTAGTCACCCACGGCTTATTATTTGGGTAACAATGAACAGTCTGAGCTGGAACAATGGAGTCGGTGCAGAAAGTTATGTAGTCTGTGATACACTCAGTAAGCCCATTGAAGTCAAGTCAAGAGGCATGCAAGCCTGCACAGGTATGGTAATCAAAATGGCCAGAGGGCCCAGAAACACAGCTCCACAGCCTTTAGTAGTGCTTTGCTGATTGACAAATAGCTGGATTCTGTGAGCAGCATCCAATCAGAACAGAGGAGGTGGAGCCTAGACAAAACATAAGGAGTTAGTTGAAAGAAGAAAACCAACATCCTCCTGGGGGATGTAACATTTTGTTTAATTAATCCTCTGTAAACTGAGTGTTGAGCGATCCTTCCTTGTTATTTATCTGAAGCTGACAGGAGGCTTCAGCCAACAAATCAAGTTACAGATACAAGTTATTAGTGTGATTTTCTCTCTTTATGTCATAAAGTTAAAGCTGTTTGCGAAAACAACTTTTCTCAATAAAAGGCCTCTCTTAAAAACCTCTTAATTAAAAGTAAATTCTAATATTAAAAAAGTAACTTTTGATTTCAATTGAAGAAAACAAAATTTTAAAATGCAATTCCAACCCATAATGGATGGTATTAACCAGAGTTCCTGGCATTTTCCCTGCATCACTGAAATCTTCAGTTATGAAGCTCCTTGTGAAAACAAGATAAATCTGTATATTTTTACAAAACAGTATAGAAAAACAAAGAAGAAAAACAACAAAAGAAACAAAAAAGAAAAACAAAGTACAACCACTTATACCTAGAACTACTGGGATATACTAGTTTTAGGTATAAGTTGTAAAAAGTAGTAAAAGATTGTCAGTGATCATCATCACCAGGAGCTGAATAAGTTGTCAGCATATTACACTGAAATGGTGTTTGCTTGCTAGTCTGGGCACTTTATGATTTAATGGTTTTCAGAGCCTTTTCTCCCTCTCTTACCTGGCATGGTGAAGATTTAAAGGTGTTATGATCCGAATGAGTGTCTGGTGTTTTTCAGCTTAGTCCCTGTTTTCCTGTGTCTATCCGTGAAGGTTCCACATCTGCATCTTCCACCTGTAACCCATCAACTGCAATCAGCAGGATGACATTTAACACCAACTCAGCCTTCCGTTCATCACCTGTTCATCAGCTACCTCATGGTGGTAACAGGCCTTCATGTCTCATGAATTATCTGCTGGTCATTCCATGTACACCAGCAGCCCTGCTGTGATAATAGGGGCCCTGTGTAAAATACACACATACACCTTTAACTAACCATCCTCTCTGAGATTGATTTTAGGAGGCATATGTTATTTTTGTGAGATATGTCAAAATGCTCCCAAACTGCTGATGTTTTTTTGCCTTTTTGGTGGCTCCATGATGTGCTTATCATGTAGTTGCAAACTCATGATGATCATCACCATTGAACAAACAGCTCTTTATTACAGCCCCGATCAGTTTAAGACCACTTGAAAAATGGTAAAACAAACAAACAAACAAACAAACAAACAAACCATTTTTTGCATCGTTGGATCTTAACAAGGTTCCAAGTAGACCTTCAACATGCAACGAGAAGAAATGGAAGTGAGCATGTAATTTATTGAAAACAGCAGTAAAACTGAAACAGGCTATTTTTATTATGGTATAACACATTTTCACACACACAGTTCCACAAAAACAATTGTCTAAAAAGGTGGCATTTTTGGTCAAAAAAAGTAAACTTTTTGGCGTCAAATGACAACAGCACACCATTATGACTTATTACTCCATCATTTTAATCTCAAACATCATTTCATCTTCCTACTCAATCACCATATATTTATGATCCTATTTTTGGGGGCATATGATTATTGATTATTACCGAATTATGATATATCAGAATTTATGATGTTCATAAAATGCCAACCTTTATTACTTCCTTTATTACTTCCTCAGTTATAAATCATGTGACTGTTTAACTGGTAGGCGATGCAGAGATGATCACTGAAAAGGTCGGCACAAAGGACCCATTAAACGATCATGCAGTGTAAAACCACGAAACAAATTGAATTAAAAAACACTTTTTGTGAGGCATTTCAAATCTCTGACAAGAGGATACCTAAGTTTCAATTTCTTGCTTAGTTTCTATTACTGCGGTTTCGTTTTTTAGTAGTGCCTAATCCCATCTATGTGTACAGTCAAAATAGACACGCCCAGGATCACAAAAACGAGAGTAGCCAAAGCAGTTGTTTCTGCAGCACAAACCCACATCTGCATTTGGTCCAGGAAGCGGGGTGTTAAACTCTGCTTTTCAGATTAGGTAAGTACATCTGTAATGTCAGCATATATGCGTATTCACTATCGGTGGGTTAAAAAATTATTTCCTGATTCAAAATGATTTTAGTTTTAATAATGCGATCGCGATTCATTAAATCCTTTAAATATAAATGTATTTTGCCAGAAACGCTAGAATCTCAGGTTAAAGGTCAGAAAACAGCTAAAACAGCAAACTTAATGAAAGATTAAAGAGCAGTTAAACGGATTCCGCAAAAAGATGTCAACAAAAAGCGCGGACCATCCCGTTCACCCAACGGCAAGTACGCGGACATGCCGTTGGGTGCTGAAAGCCGACATCTCACAGACTGGAAAATAACTTTCTGTCCACCATTTTTGTGACTAACAGTCTCGCTTCTGGATGACTGTTGTTGTAATTTGGTAATGTATAGATAAAACTGAATTGAAACTTCTGCTTACTAAGTGGTCCTCTCATGGGCAGTGTGCAATCACACAAAAGAACAACTTAAATTTCACCATAATTGTTACTGGAGAAAAGGCAGTTTGGAAATTTAAATGATGAAAAAATTGTATAAAATAAATAATTTTTAAAATTTCACAGTGTGAAAAAAAAATTACAACATACTAATAAATGTATAAAACCACGAAACAAATTGAATGAAAACACTTCTTGTTAAGCATTTCAACTCTAACAAGAGAATAACAAGAGTTTCAATTTCTTGCTTAGTTTCTATTACTGCACTTCCATTTGTAGTCCTATCTATGCATGCAGTCAAAAAAGACACACCCAGGATCACAAACACAGGAGCGGCTAAAGCAGTGCTTTGTGCAGCACAAACCCACAACTGCACAAATTCTCAAAAAACTATTTTAACATTTGCCAAACAGCTTAAACAGCAAACTTAATTAAAGAGTAAAGAGCAGGTAAATGGTTCAAAGATCAAAACTACACTTCACATTTGAAAAACAACGTCATTAATTCCCTCTTACTTTTGCTATTTTCCTTCCACCATGATAAAATCACACTTCCTGCTCAGCTCTTTCTCTCTCTCAGTGTACTTCAAGAACAGTTTCCCATCAAAAACCTCAATTTGTTTGCATTATTCACTTGCTTATTAAGCACCAGTCTACCATTGTTCACAGCACTGTTGGCAGCTGTTTGTTTTTTCCCCCAAAATGACCTACGAAAAAAAGCCTAATTTCTGTTGTTCAATACAGAAGAAATGTAAACTTTTGCAAATTATGCCATATTGCAAAACGCTTAGCTGTGTCTCTAATAAAACCTCTGTAACTTTGCTCTGCTTCACTTCAGCAGTATCAGGTAATGTTCATATGTTTATTCATCGTTTTCTTCAGTTTTTGAGCTACTGCTGAATAATCATAAGGTGATTATCTGCTCTAAATCCATTACTGGAGAAAGCGATTTTTTGAACTTAACCTGTATAATATCATTTGATGCATGAACAGAGAAACTGATCACTTATGAGGAAACATGCTCAGGTGGATGGGTGGGTCTGGCAGACTAGTATATATTCAAGTAAATGATTAACACATTGAACCGAATAACAGTGTTCAGAAATTCAGACATAATTTATTCTTTTAGCACTGTTTAAACTGGATTGTTTAAATGAATTATCTCATCTAAGTACTTACTTGAAAATCACTGCATTGGATACAAGACCATGTGTACTGAAGGAAAAATAATTGCATTCATATGAAGGAAATTAATTTATTTCAGTACAGTAACAGAAACCATGTGCTATTTATCCTTTATGCTTGTCTGAGACCATTAAAAACCTCACAACAACTACATAATCTAGCAAACAGTTTAATTTATGGTCAATAAAACTGAAGACCTACACCAATCAGGTATCGCATTATGACAACCCGCCTAATATTCTGTTGGTCCCCCTTTTGCTTCCAAAACACCCCTGACCTATAGAGGCATGGACTCCAGTAGACCCCTCAAGGTGTGCTGTGGTATCTGGGACCAAGACCAAGAATTAACAACAGATTCTTTAAGTCCTGCACGTTTAAGGTTGGGGCTTTATTGATTGTACTTGTTTGTTCAACATATCCCACAGATACTAATCTATGGGAATTTTGGAGGCCAAGCCAACATAAACTCATTGCTGTGCTCCTCGAACCATTCCTGAACCATTTCTGTGGCAGAGCACATTATACTGCTGAAAGAGGCAACAGCCTTGAGAAAACTCCTGTTCCTATGAAAGAGTGAACATGGTCTACAAAAATGCTTAGGTAGGTGTATATTGGTGCCAGGTGTTCCCCAGGTAAGTGACATGCCCACCCATACACGTGGTGTAAAAGAAAATGTGATTTATTAGACCAGGTCATCTTCTTCCATTAATCCATGGTTAGTTCTGATGCTTACATGCACATTGTTGGCACTTTCTCTGTGGTGAACAGGAGTCAGTATGGGCACTGTGAAATGCACTTCACACACGTACACACCCACACAGTTCTTTAATGCCAGATGCCACGTTTATTTTTAGTTTTCATTTGTTGTGACAAGCTGTAGTCTGGACAGCTCCGGTCTCAGCTGATCCCAGCTTCCCCTCCGCTCCTCTCTCCTCTCACTAAAAAGGGGAAGGAAACTGTCATCAGCCCAAACGCCATGAGCTGTTCTTACCTGCCTCTCCAGCACCGCCCCGTTGAGCTCACTGCACCACTCCTCCCCTGCAGCCGCGCCCGGGACCACACCTCCGCCACTGGCACCCTGACAGGTCTGTGGCTATGTAGCTTCATATGCAACAAACTGAAGCACTGTGTATTCTGACATCCTTCTATCAGAAATAGCGTGAACTTTTTAGCAATCTTACCTACAGTAGTTTGTCTATTCGTCTTGCCAAATGGACCAGCCTTCACTGCCAACATGTACTGGTGAGCCTTGGCCACCCATTACCCTGACCCGTTATGCCTGATCTGTGTATATCAACAAAACTGATTTTTGAATAAATGTAATTTTCAAACATTTTATTTTCAAAACTGAGAGCATGCTGACTTTATCGCCAGCAGAAATACTGAAAGAGGGATGATCAACTATACTGGTGTTCTATAGTCTTGTGAATGTGGTAAGTGTAATCTTCTACTGCACCTGTGCAATTCAAATTATTAGAAAATACAACGTAGTAAATATTAAACTTAATGTTTTTGCTATTCATAGAAACAATCAAAAATGGAAAGCAGCAGCTCAGAAATTGGTGAGTATGAAATGTATATCACAAGACCAGGTTAGAAAGAAAGGCCTGATATAGGTAGAAAAGGATAGTTAAATTCCTTCTAACAGTTATGTTCCAATCTGTAACTAAAGAATAGCAAGAAACATATTTGTTCATTTCATAATTGGGAAATTCTTCTCACACACACACACACACACACACACACACACACACACACACACACACACACACACACACACACACTTTTTATTTGTATAGCACATTTAAAACCAGAGGTAGCCAAAGTGCTTCACATAATCCAATAAAACAGTAGTAAAGTACAAAGGCAGATAAGCTAGCAGGTGGGAGGCATTGATTAACCATGCATACAAGTATACAAGTAAGCAAGACTTAACCATAGAAAACAATAAAACAATATAAGCAAAAGAGAGGAAAGGGGAGGGCAAGAAAGTACACTTAAAAGGCATGCTCTAGGAGGCCGGGAAGGCTAAGCTAAAAAGGTAGGTTTTCAATCGAGACAAAATTCAATCGAGAATTTTGGTCATCAGATTGTTAGATTGTTGTCTTAAAGAAGACAAACAGGAATGAGTCCAATAATCTCCACTTAAACACTTGACTTCTGAAATGCTCCTACTGTATCGTGATGCTGTGCAAAAGATAGAACAAAACAGTGTTAAAGGCACAGTTTCACATTCTCAGGGCGATCCAGAGCAGAGCGCTGCTTCTTAAATGTGCTGCATTGCATCTGGTAGATTTGCAATCACTGTTTTGAGTGTGTGCGATCAATTCAGGCAGTCACATTTAAATGCTGGCAGTCAGTATGTGAAATTGGTCGCAAAGAGGCATGTGATTCTACACTTCCTTTCAATTCCTTTAATCACTAGCAAGCTGGCGCGGTCATTCGTAGTTTGCATGAAAGATGTCAGCTTGTCTGCAAACAGTCGCAAACTTCTTGCTGAACAGCAGTAAAACTGTGATAGTGTAAGCAGAGAATATTATCTTGAAAGTAAAAGCTGTGCTCTGAACCTTTCACGGGTGGTGGTATGTTGTTCAAGTAGAGGGCATACAAGAGAAAAACACCCAGGTGCAATTACACATCTGATATAGGTTTCAAGATTAGTCATATCAGCAGAGTGCCATGTTCCACTCTGAATATAGAATAGGTGAGTGTTGAAAAAGACCGTTCCTTTTCTGGCTTTAGTCTCACAATAGCATGGAGAAATTTCTCCGGCACCTCGTTCAATTTTGGGAAGCATGATATTATTAAGAGCTTGCTTGCTTGTCTGAATACCTAATTATTTACAGACTGATGTTGTGGGCCTATCTACATTTTAACATTGTAAAGATTCCTTCAGTGCAGTTTTTTTTAGTGGTTTGCTGGATCTATGATACAAATTAGCATGGCATTTCTTTCTGTTAATAGAATAAGGTAGTTTTGCTAATCACTGTTAAGTGTAATGCATTCATAAGTAATGTATTACTATCAGATTGTACTATATAGTACAATCTCGCGGCCCATGTCACTTCTACTTGCAGCCCGCATAATGACGTGAAGAAATATTTTTAAAAATTATTCACAAGAAAGATTTAAAATGAAGGCAATAGGCAGAGTGTTTCAGGCATAGCCCTAAAGAAAGTACCCTCATGGGCTGGGCAGTGCAGTCCGTGCTGCAGGGAGAATGGACTGCCATTTTGTGTCTGTGAGCACAAGGGAGGGAGAAAAAAAAAAAAGTTAAAAAAAAATACAAGTTGTCACCAAGTAGAAACGGGAGCTGGAAGCATGTAAATATAATAATAACCACTGCAGCCAAAAAGTGTGCCTGACGAGCCCAGTTGTAAGTCAGCTATTAAGACTCGACTGTACGCTGTGTTCGTGTTTTCCTCCGAAACAATAAGTTCCGTTGGAGCAGCCTTTCAACGCCTCTCTCTGTCTCTCACTAGCAAAGTTGACCCACACAACAAAGTAAAGCTAGTTTTCGGCTACGAGCCCGACACGAACCCGATGTATTAGCCAGAGGTTCCTTTACGGTTTTATGCCTTTAAGGTTCGGAGCAGCGGACCAGTTTTATATATGAGATCGCTACAAAAAGTGCAGCCTTACCTAATGTTGTTATAAAACGGCTGTGTGCAGGCAGGAAAAGAACCCAAAGTGCAGACTCCGGAGACAGACGTGAACTCAAAAAAACAGCTTTAATGCTGAACTCAAAGTAACAAACCTCCAAAGTACAAACATTAACGCAGGCAGGGAAACCAAAACACACACAGCATAAGTGAGGGTAGATAAGAGTAGATCGCAACAATGACAAACTGAAACACAGGGCTTAAATACATAGAGGGAGCAATCAGGGAATGGACAACAGGAGGGAAACACAGCTGGGGCAAATCAGAACTGACGAGACAAGGAAGCGTAAACTGAACACACTGAGATAAGACAGAGACCTTCAAAGTAAAACAGGAAACACATAACACAGACTGAACAAAGACACAGACTCACATGCAGGCACTACAACAGAGGGAACAGAGACGTGGGACCAGGGCAGACACAGACACTGACTGGACACGGGGATATAGCGGACAGGGGAGACAGCAACTAAGGATTACACAGAGACAAACCATAAGACATAACTCTAACAAAAACCCAAAGACTAGAAATTATAAATAATATAATAAACTCAAAAACCCTGGGTCAACGACCCAGGCATCCTAACAAATGTCCACCCTACTGTTACTCATTTTATATTAAGATTTAAAAATCTAGTCGGTATTGGTATGGCAAGTAACCTTCAGCAAAAGTAATAAATCGCACAGCAATAGTACATTCATGTAGTTGTAAAAAGCATGACAATTTATTAAGTAATCCAAAGTATTCAGAATATGTTACTCTCATTGAGTAATGTAACGGAATACGTTACAAAATACATTTTGGGGCATGTATTCTGTTATCTGTAGTGGAATACATTTTAAAAGTAACCTTCCCAACACTGCAGATATAATAGTTAATTGCGTTACAAGGGCTCTTTAGTTATCTGTACAGAAAGAAAACATTTTTTTCCCTGTGCACTTGTTACAATCAGCTGATGTTAGTTTGCAAGTAAGTGGGAGGAAAATGTTTGCGTGGTCTACAACCTTTTACGAGTGGAGATATGAATATTACTCTTATTTTTATTGCACAAATGAAAACGAGAATAGAGGTAAAGTGCAAATTGTATTCAAGACAAAAACAACTGCCGACACATCTGAAGCTCTTTACAAACATCTGCACAGACAACATGCTGGTATAAAGCTAGCCAAGAAAAGAGAGTGATATTAAAGCTGAGTGTATGTACAAAATGTGAGTCTGTATCCTACGAATTTATGTTGTTGACTGACAATTATGTGACAAAGCATTTATACGTACAGTAATACAGTCCATAGGTAATCGACTGTATTACTTTTAAAATTATTTTAAATTCCATCATCAATATATGATACATTACTTTTTTGAATAATAACCTCAACACTGCCAACAATAAGTAATAAAAAATAATCATCACTGATTGATGTTATTCTATTTTTCATATTTCTTAAGAATGAGCACAATGCTATTAACTAAATCTATTATATGTAAAAAAAAAAAAAAAAATTCTACCAACCACATTTAAAGCTTAGTATAGTATAACATTATTTCAAATTGTTTTACAAGAAGACACTGATGGGAGTAACCATTATAACCTTTATTATTTTATGATTAACTTATATTTAACTAACTTAATTTAAATAACACAACTGATTTTAAAATTTTGTTTCAGAGTGGCGTGAGCTTCCATATGACAGCTGGACAGAATCTCATGTTAGTTCCTGGCTGAAATCCATTGGAATAAAAGAATTGTACATAGGAAAAATGATGGAGGAGGAAGTGACAGGACCAGTTCTCACAACTGTAGACCGGGATTTCCTCAACAAAACAATTGGAATGAAAAGTGGCCAAATTGAACACCTACTGAAAAAACGAGATGAACTTTTAATACCGGAACAGCAGAAAATAAAAAAGACAAGCGATTCATCTGGCAAGAGTAGAGATGGCAAAAAGGAAGCTGTTAAAGATGTAGAACAAGAACCAAAGCTTTCATCACAAGAACTATGTGACGGAGCAAAGGATAAAAATATTCCTACAGAGAGCAATGATAACATATCCACTACAGAAGTGGTTTCCTGTGACTATCGTAAATTTGACCAGGATGAAAAGGACTTCAGGTACGTGAAACATCATGTCCTGCCTCCTGAGACAGGGACTGAAAACATGATGGTTCCATGCCATGAATATAAGTCGCTTGAGATTGCATACAAACTAGACTCAAAGAGGTTACAAGTAAAAGTAGCCAGTGAAGTACTAAGATTTGCATGCGCATGCATGAATATGAGAGCAAATGGGACAATTCACTTTGGCATCATGGATAAAGTCAGAGGAACTCACAAGCATGGAGAAATCATTGGGATACCTGCAAACAATCGAGAAGACTTTGTGGATGCATTAGACTACATTGAAAGGTGCTTCAAAGGGTCAAATCAACAAAGTGATGCCAGGAGTTGTATAAGGCACCCGCGATTCATTGAGGTGCTTGACAAGGAAAGTAGTGGGAACACATGGGTCATTGAATATGACATTGTCCCAAAAGCAAACATTGTAAGAGATAAGCTTTACTATGTTGGTGTTCCTAAATTCTCTGAAAAAGACAACAAAGTCAAATGTGAAGAGAAAATTCCCTATTACAGAGTTGGAGCAAACACACCACGTGTACCTGAAGACGACCTTGTTCCTTTCATTCAAGGACTGAGAGAAAAAGACCAACAGAGAGAGGAGGCAGAATCTACAAGCAATGAAACAACTCTGGACTTTGGCGAGGATCAAAAGAGGAAACTTTCTATCCTCCTAACATGTGGGAAAAAGCACATGGACAACTCTCTGTTTTACATTGTTGTAACAAACAAATTTCAACCAGCACATCTTGACAACATAAGCTTCTTAGTTCACATGAATTTATTCTGTGTGTTTGACTTTGACCCAGATTCAAAGACATCTGGTCTTTGTGGAAGATACAAGGAACAGAAGGTGACAAACCTCCACTTTCTTGATGATTATGCAAATGACAATAAATTGGGAAATACTAACATCATAAATTCTTTGCAACTTTTCGAGAGAACAAGTTGGATTTTTTGCAATGGAAGAAACAACTTCCCAGGTGGAGAACAACCCTGTGATGAGAAAACTTGGATCAAAACAAGAAAAAGGAAACTGAAAAAAGTAGTGTCACTCATCTGCAATGAGATACTTCCCAGAGGGTCATTTGTTGTCCTCTTCCTGCTCATGTCTGAAACTGAACAGCCACTTGTTGAAAATTTTCACGAATTCTACGCAGAGATGAGTGGACATGAATTTCTGACAGTCTTATCAGAGTCAAAGGAAATCTATAAGAAGTGGTCAAGTCTTGCCCAGGTGTCTTGCCCGATTTCTGATCTCAAAGAAATCAGCATTGTTGAAATGCCACTGAGTCATGTGGATGCCACAGTTCAAAGCATTCAACTATCAAAGAATCAACCCAGAAGGACATTACCAGTCCCAAATGGAGGCTTGTGCTTCATAAAGTCTGTTGAAGAGTCTATGCTAGATTCTTTGGAAATCATCAGTGTTGACCAGTGTGATGATACAAAACTAGAGATCATGAATGAGGAGAAAATGGAACAAACTGAGAGCTACTTCTATCGAGGTGGAAAGATCAACTGGATCAACTTCTGGCTTGCTGATAAACATAAGTGTGGTATGATAATAGAGAGGGATGCCTACAAGGAAGCAAATACCTTACTAGACAACATAGTATATCGTAATAAAGCCAAACGCCCCATAGAGAGTGTGAACATATACCATCATCCTGGCAGTGGTGGAAGTACAGTGGCACGGCAGATCCTCTGGAGGTGGAGGACTAAAGTGCGATGTGCAGTTGTTAAACAGGGTAAGGAAATCACAACTGTGTGTGAACATGCAATGAAACTGAGGGAACATGATGAGACAGACAAAAGCAAATGTCTCCCAGTGCTCCTCCTATTAGAGGACTACAATAAGGATTATATTGACGATCTCAGGCGTCAACTTGGAAATGTCATTGCAACCAAAAAGATAAGTCCCTCTGTGTTGTGTTTTATCTTGCTCATCTGCAGCAGGTCAAACGATCCAGAAAGAATGTGTAGAGCATTACCATCTCAAACAATAGCAGTCACTCACAAGCTGTCTGCAGACGAGAAGCCTCAGTTCTCAAAAAAGCTTGAGCAACTCAAACTGCAGTTTGAACCTGACTTCATCCTCACATTTGTACTGATGAGTGAAGGGTACCAGCCAAGCTACATTGAGGACTTTGTAAAAAATCTTCTAGATAAAATCGATCATTCAACACCAATAACTCGTCTCATCAGATTTGTGGCTCTCCTGAACTGCTATGTCGATGATTCGTATATATCTGTATCACACTGTGAGACATCTCTCGGCATTACTACCCATTTTGACAAAGCTCAGTACCATGCCTTTGTGGATCATCTAAGTGATGAAGCCAGGCTCATTTTCATCCACCTTAACCAAAGTTCAACACACATCCCATCAATACGAATTATTCATCAACTGGTGGCAAAAGAAATTCTGAGTCAGCTGTCTGCTAATTTGCCTCAGAGTGATATTGCCATGGATCTCATCAGTGATAAGGTACTGATCAATCACAGGTTTGACAGAGATGAGTTTCTGAGGTTTATCAGAGCTCTTTTCATTAGACGCAACAAGAAGAGCAGAGGAGATCCTAAAGACACAACTTTTTCACCACTTATTGAGCATGTCTGTGATGTTGATAAAGGGGGTGTTCAGAAAGCTGTTGATCTCATGAAAGCTGCTTACATAGCTTTGGGAAAAGATGCATGTGTGGCACAACAGCTTGCTCGGCTGCTTTACACTAATAATAGATTTGAAGAGGCTCTTGAATGTGCCGAGGAAGCAAAATCTCTTGTTCCATATGATACATTTATCCTTGACACAGTGGGACAAGTTTATAAGTGGTGGTTTTATCACTTGTATGATACCCTTGAAGAAAAAGAGCCATCTCCTGAAGGGTGCATTGAAATCATAAGCACAGCACTCAAAGGAATTTCTGCCTTTCGGGCTTCTGAAAAAACACCTATATATGATACTGTCAGCTTTAACAATTCATACTATGGGGAAGTAGATGTTGGTTGCAGGCTCCTAAAATTCCTGTCAGGAGTAGACGTTTTTTCAAACGCTACTGGAAAATCAGAGCTGATGCAGTACCTGCTAACAGACTACATACCAGCAGAGGTTAAAACACCCTGGCAGAAGTTTCATCAACAGTTGAAAGGCTTACAGAGGAGCTTGAGCCAAGCACTTGAGTGCATTTCTGAGGATCTTAGCTATTTTCAAACTGATATTAGTGAAGATGATGAAGAGCTTGATGCAAGAGATCCAGAGCAAGTGTACAATCCTAGAGAGTGGTTGACAAGGAAGAGTGCTGTATATGCTGGATTTTTTTGTCTTGCACCAGATGAGAGTGGTCAAGTAGCTGAAAGCAATGACACTGACATGGTTGGTCCAGTTGAAAAGCTTTCTCCATTCCAAAGACAGATGAGGGCCTACAATCTTGGTGGAGGAAATGTTACATCTATCCTCTCACTATTTTATGACAAGAATGCAGAGAGGGCAGGAAAAAAACTTGAGACAATCTTTAGCCTGTACCCAGAAAATCTGATGTGGAATGATCTTGATCCAACAGAACTCACAAACTTCATCTTTTGTCAGATAGCTCTCAACTGTATTCTACCTGGTTCCTCAAAGCTTCTGTCTCTTCAAAAGCTACAAGAATTCAGCAAGAGGTTTGTGACAACGGGGAAACAGATGTCATCAGCAAGCGCTCTCTTCCTTCTCTCCCTTCTGTTTTGGCCTGAGACAAGTGATGAAGTCAGTTCTGATGGTGCTGAGATTCTTTTCTCTGCCATTGATGCCCTTCAGAGACTTTGTGAGCAAAAGATCCAGCACAGGTCTCAGCGGAAAAGCAGGATTGTGACACACTTCTTTTTGGCAAAGGCAAGAGGTCTTAACAAGATTGTTCACAGAGGTGCTATTGAAAAGGAGATTAAAGGCCCTCTAAGTGAAAGAAAACTAAAATGGCTGGGAGGAGAAGTATGGAAAACAAAACAAGTTGTGCAACTTCTCAAACGGGTTGAAGGGTGGACAGAAAATGAAACCTTGTTTGTGAGATGTGGAAGCGGAGGCAAGATCAGAGTAGTTCCTCGGTATAGTGCCTCCCTGCCTCACGGAAACGAAAAAGTCAACTTCTACTTGGGCTTTTCATTTGATGGTGTAGTTGCCTGTGACATCCAAGTGATGGACTAATGTCTTCAGTGTAAATCTCCAATAAGTAATAAGTAATAGTAAATGTAGTTCACATGACCTTGACCCATAAAGAGTTACAGAGACCATTTGTTGATTTTACAAATTTAATAAGGCCAGTGTGAAACATGAGTTATTTCTTTCTGAGTTTGTTATTGTTTCAGTTCCAAATACCTTTTTTTTTTTGCATGTACCACTGATCTTTATAATTATGACAACTGTAACACATATGCACACAATGCTGCATTAATATAACTCCTTACTGGGATGGATATATGGAGTTAAACTTGTACTGTTCTAACAGTAGTTCAGATCGGTAATTACATATGATTCACATTTGTGTTGACTTGTCTGTACTGAATACCAATGTTGTTTCTTTACTTGTAAAATTGTGATGTTGTATTTGCTCACAAAAATGTCTTGAAAAAGAGTTTTTAATCCTAATTACATTTTACTTGGATAAATAAAGGATAACAAAAATAAAAAGAAGAATGTTCAAAAAGTCAGAGTTTAAAAAAACATGCAAAAAAAGAAAAAGAATCACTGTAAATAATTTCTGAAACTATTTTTAACAACGTTTACATTTGGAAAAATGTTAAACATTGTGTTTTTCTGTTGTTAGCATATTTTTTTAAATGATCTTTGAATGGTGAAACAAAGTGTGCCTCATTTCTAGAAAAAAAAGGATATTCTTGAGAGACTGCAAATGTGTTCTGAGATAATTTTAATGTGGGACAATACAGTTCTTGTACAGACGTTCATGTAAATACAGACTGCTTTCCCACAAGCATTGCTTTTTCTACTTGACAATGTTTGATGATAGTACTTTCTTAATTTACTGTTTGCATTCATTTTGTGTTTGTATCATGAAATGTAGAAATGTTATTTGCATTTACATTTATTTAGTGAAAACCTCAGTGTTCAACATCCAGTGCAGAAAAAAACAAAAGTTAAATAAAGTTAAATACATCAGAAGTTATGAATTGGTTTATTTAAATTGAGACATTTTACATTGAAAGTTTTAGGTTGAAAACTGAAGCAAAGTACATTATTTCATAAATATGAGCCAATTAATTTTCTTTCATGGAATGGTATACTTCAAGAAGTAAACAGTTTACAGAATTAAAAATAATAATAATAAGACTATACTTACCAATAACGTCTGCCTGAATGACATCTGTATATTGCTGAAATCATTTTCAAATGCTCACTAGCATTTATTAGTAGTAGTGAAAAACAATTGCAGCACACCAATATAAAATTCCTTTCAGATTTATGAAGGATGCAGTTTTTTTCAGACGATTGTGTCAGACATAAAAAAAAAATGCCATACCAAATACAATTTGACGAACATCATCAATCAATTATAGTTGTGGTACTTATTGCTTTAACTAACCCATTACTGGCAGAGATTCTCCTTTAAGTAAATAGTTCAATTCAAATGATCAAATGAGGAAAGCTAATAAAACAAACAGGATTAAGTAGTAAAGCCATTTTAAAGCCATGTGAAAAGTAGTTTGTTCATTCAAACATCCTGCCACACATTTTAACTGCAAATGGTGATGCTACTGTAGAACCTTTAGGCCTTGAACATGCCTTTAATAGTCCGTATAATAGTAAAACACATTTGAAAGCTCTATACTTTAAAAACTTTTCGGATGGTCTCACCCACAGAGATCTTCACTGGTCTAAAGATCCTAAAGATTTCAGAGAAAACTTCTGCCAAGAAGTAATTATGAATTTTAAGTTGGTTAAAAATGAAACTCAAGTTTCATTTTAAAACTTTTTTCTTCTGTGCCTGGCTGTGATGCCATTCTTTGTCAAGAAAGCTGAGGGTGGTTTCCCTCTCTTGCCGATGGAAGCAGCATGGACTGCTTTTATTTTAAAAGCAGCAGTGGCAATTTCCCTTTTGAACTATAGTGGCAATTGCTTGTTCCATGGTTATGGCTGCACAGGAATACTCATTCTCATAGGTCATTTACTACAGATCCACTTTGTACAACACTTCCACCATGATCAGCTGCCTGATCACATGTGGTTTTCTCTGATCTATTCCACATTATTACACAAAATGTTCAAAAACCCAGGACATGATAACAGAATCAGGATAGTAATACTGAGACTGAGTTTAGTATCCAGGCTTAGGGTTCAGGCAGACTAGCGAAGAGCTTGACCAGTAAATGGAGGACAGGGTAGATAGTTTAATGACAAACAATGAAATATTGTTTATGTTTTTTAACATGTTTAAAGAAAAAGATGCCTAAATACAAGAACACAAACAAGGACCTTCACCAAACTTGCTGCAAGTTTGGGGACAATGATATCCAACAGCATGTAAGCTGTGAGGGCCCCTGATAATGAATGAGAAGACAGAAAACAGTGAGACTTGCCTCTGGCTGAAACAGGGCTACACTGAGACAGGGCCTCAGCCAGTTCCCCCCAATGGCATTGCTACAGGGAGAAGAAAAATCTGGGTTTTAGCACTACAGCCTTTAATGATCTGGATGCTATGCACCTGTACAATGCTTTCTATCAGTGACATGTACAGAGCATCAG